CCCCCGCGGTATTATAATGTCCGTCTTTTCACTGAATTGTCGTCTTGAAAAGGGTACTCACAACAATTCCGCAACAACTTCATCTTCATCTGTTGCACTTGTTATTTCAACGTTAAAAACAATAAAACGGCATGAATTGCTTCGTCACATTCATCTATTCATCTATCTCGAGCCAGTTAACTAGCGGGGCCTTCTAGAGTACCCTGGAACCGAGGGAAACTGAAAGAATATGCCCATTGGCTACAAATCAATATATGATTGGTTGATCAAACTGTCAGTCCAAACGTACGCTCTCATTCATTGCAACGGCCAGGGCGTTCTACTGTATCAAGGATGTAGAATACCTTGGTTGAAGGATATTCTACCCAGAGAACCAGAACAAGATCTGATTTGTTGCTTTCTTTTCTAAGACAAAACCACTGAATGCGTAGTGCATGGTCCGAGAAGGACAAACAAAGCAACGTAGCACTGTAATATTACAGATCAACAACACAGATACGATTCTCATTTATTCATTTTACATACATTTTATTTCATTTTATTTATATAATTAAATCGATTTTTTGTTTGTTTTATCTGAGTGTTCGAGGGTATTCTCTGAATACCTTGAAGGCCCTGACGGTTCGCCACTGCTCAAATGCCAAAACAACATCTATGTAGCCTGACATATTTTTGTCCAATGACTGCCAGAGACCATGGGAGTTGAAAAACACTGCAACTTGTTTGCATTCTAATGCCTGGCTGCACTTCCTGTGGTGTGTATACTGTATACAAACTATTATTTAATATTTCTGAAGAAAAAAGGGGGCTGCGAAACCATTCAACCCACAATGCAACTCTGTCGCTGACAGTTGGGTGTGATACATGTAGCAGCTAAGAGCCTGGAACATCTAGCATGCAGCAGAGATGGGCAGCGGGCAACAGAGGTCACTATAGTCAGTATGTTTTAACCCAGTGAAACAGGATAGCATTTTGTAATGCCACAGATTTCAAAGTATATTATAAGTAAATGTTTTCTGATGATGTTGTTCTGTTGAGATGAGACATTTTACAATTAAAAAGTTGGATTGTTTTAAATAAACTTTGTATATTGGTGTATAAATATTTCCGTATAAATATGGATTTCCGTAGTTTGGGTTCAAAGTAGTACCACTAACACACCAATACCATTCACACTGAATATAATGTGAAAAAATCCAACCCATTGTTCACAGTCTATAATTAACAATAAAAAAAAAAAAAACTTTTCTCATGAATGAAAAGTTAATAATAAAATAATAATAATAACACCATAAAATGAAGTGTTGGTTGATTCAATAAATTCAGTGGTTACAGCCTTACTCAGTCTGGTATGACCAGTATCCCATCGATTTTGCTCTTTAAAATGTATGTCTTTTCTGAGTCAGTAGTTTCATTTCATTCAGTTTGTACTATTATCCAACTTTCACTTGTAGCTGACGGTGGCTGTGGGTAATACGGTCGGATAAAGCGCTATATAAATACAGCCAATGAACTTGTGGCAGCTAAAGTTATATCATTTTTTACATTAAAAAAATAATAATAATGTATCTACATACAGTATTTAAAACCAATTTAAATTACTTCTTGCAAATCTTCAATGTTCCAATTGTATTCCGTTGGAGTCTCTGCCGGCTTAATATCCAGAGTGCTATTCCTAAAAAATTAACAGTTGCAACATATTGTAGATTAAACAAATGCGGACATCCTGTGCCTATCAGAGACATATCTACACACAATTCCCCTACAGATATGCTAAATGTGCACTCCTATGTTACTTCAGATGAAAATAAGAACTCAATGGTGCTCTAGGAGGAGATTCAGGTGATAAGGTGTGGGGGGGGGGTTACCTTGGTTGCTGATTGGCTAATGGTTACACAAGCCAAAACATCGTTATGACATCACAAAGTGGCCAAAGTCTGATCAGCTCATTTTCAGACAGGTTTTTATGTAAATGGGACGGGACAAAAAGAGAGAGAATCTTTGTTCCTTTTATTTTAGCATAATAGGTGACCTTTTAATATAATCAAGTTGCTTGTTGTTCTGACGTCATGTCTCCCTCTCTGTCACAGGCCAACAGTAAGCTGGCGAGCTGCCTGACGTGTAAAACTCTGATCAAGACGGGCGAGGTGCTGCACAGCCTGGGGGCGTCCGGCACCATGGGCTCCTACTGCTCCGTCAACTGCATGAACAAGAGCAAGATGGCCTCCACCTCCTTCATCGGTGAGTCACACACAACAGCAAAAACATTTTTAGTTGCTGTGACACAAGCCAATACTGAGAAATAAAAAGCCAAGTGGTCCGCAAGTTGTCCTTTAAATTCAAATTGATGCTCAAAGGATGAATATCTTTAGGCTTTAAAGGGGAATCCAGAGAAAGGAAATATTTGAATATGAAAAAATAGGGCAATACATGCTTAAAAGTGAATGATGATACAAGTAGAGTTTCACATATCTTCTCAGCTGATGCACATTATTTTTAAAGTCTATCCTGCCGATACCGGTTGTCTCTATTTCTAAAAACTATAATTGACAGCATAGACCAACATTTTGTTTATGAAAAATGATAATTAAATGGTATGCATCACCCTTCCTAACACAGAAACAGATTTTCTGAACCACATATTTTCAGGGATAGTACTATTATTTTTTCTAAGGTACATCCAAAATATTCTTTTCACTTTCTAAGTTTTACAATGCTCAATTTTCTTTTTACCGGAAAAGGACCTTCAGATGAAGTTCTGCTGATTTCAACAAATCCGTTAAATTATTCAGCAGATTTAACGACTCGAGGTTTTGTGGTGAAAGCTGCGCGTCTGAACGTTTATTTGTATATTTTCATGTTCAGATGATTGATAATTCGGTCGACAGAGGAGAATAGAAAAGCTGCTGTTAACCAGAAAACATCAAATGTATTACCAGGAATTTGATCTTCTGTAAAAGGACCTTTAAAACTAAATCGTGTGTGTGTGTGTGTGTGTGTGTGTGTGCGCGCAGCCTCAGAGCCTACGTGTCACTTCTGTAAGAGGAACTCTTTACCGCAGTACCAGGCCACGCTGTCGGAGGGAAACATCCTGAACTTCTGCAGCTCGCAGTGCGTCACCAAGTTCCAGGTGAGAGCCCTCTGACATTACAAACTGCTTGACGTGACTTGTGAAGGGAGAGAGTTCCAGAGTTGCTGAAAATATGCATACATACTAATGTTATGCAAAACATGTTGAAACAATTAGATTAATAACAACTTATTGATACTTGGTTTTAACTTGTGTCCCAATTTCTTTACACAATAATGCGGACATAAACTATACTTGATAAGAAATAAAAGTTGTGAAAATGAAACCCAGATACATCATTATCATTATTCTTATGAACAGCAGCTCCAAAAATATGTAACAGCTCAGGTTCCCTCAGTGGACTCCATGACCTAATTAGCTTGTTAAGCAAAACATTGCTACATTTACACTTTAACAAGAATGTTGTACTATGACTCTATCCCTGTTTACCACACACTTCTTATCATAACACCCACATACAAAGACAAGTTAGTGCGTTTAGAAATATTTGCAAGTCAATGTATGAATTAGATTAGTTAATGACCTCTGTAAGTACAACTACTATTGCGTTGGCCATTACACACGTTGGAGGTTGTTGCACATGAACAGTTGTTAATTTTCTCTGTTTTATTTATTTTTCCAGAACACCACTCTTCAAACGGCCACCAACGGACAGGCGGCGCTCTCCACCAGAAACAACAGCGTGCAGCTGAAGTGTAACTACTGTCGAGGAGCGTTCAGCCTGAGGCCGGAGGTCCTGGAGTGGGAGGTGAGACCATCAGGAGGGAGAGATTTGTAATTTGTATTCAGGTATCATCAACGAACTGTCCCTTTTTTCACTTTCACTGAGTGAGGGGAATTTGAAGTGTGACAGCAGCAGAAGAACAAAAATGTGTACAGATGAATAGTAAGGTTACAAAAAAAGAAAAATGTGACTATACAAGAACCATTTAACGCAAAGTGACAAGGCAACTAGCACAAATACAATATGACCAGTGTACTTAAAGGGGACCTATCATGCAAAATGCACTTTTTGATGTCTTTTATACATAAATATGTCCCCCTGGTGTGTCGGGGAACTCACGCAGCGTCAGAAAATAACACCCTCTCTCTTTTCCTCCGTACCCAAATCTCTAAAAACGGGGGAACAACGGAGCTGATCCAGATTTGCGTCCGATATGACGTAATATCTGAAATGTGGACCCACGGCCCTATCAGAAACGTTGCTATCAGAAACAATGCCCGACTGTTTAGGACGTAATATGGTCGGTATTTACATTAGCATCGCTAACACTCAGAGCTAACCTCTACTGGAGAGCATGTGTGTGAAGAAGCAGGAAGTAAAAAGGAACTCACCTTGTGGTATAACCGGCAAGAGAGAAAGCCTTTGAGCTCCATACTGTTTCAGAGATAATCCTTGATAATCCATGATATGGCGTTTCATCACGGCAATATTTAGTTTAGACAGTAGCTGCCGGGTCCCGCATGAGCTCAGACCCCTACTTTTTTCTTTATTTTTTAAAGCTTTATACACAAATCAGCACTTTTGAAACAGGAAGTGAAATAGAGGGATATGAGGCATGGCTAGAATGGGTGATCTGTTTGGTATTTTGAGCAAAACACTTCATAGACATGTATTTATATATCTGAGATCTATGCTATTGCCTAAAAATAGCGTGATAGGTGCACTTTACTGTTTTACACTGCTAAAGTTTAAAGATGCTGAAACGTGTGTCTGCAACCAGTCAATGCAATACTTAAAAAAAAAAAAAATACTTAAGGAAAACTATAATTACTGGTTCTAGCTTCTCAAATGTGATGATTTTTTTATTCCCCTGTGATCATAAATTCCAGTACAAATGTTTTGATTTTGGTCTTTTATAAATCAATGCATTGGTGTCAACTTGGACTCCTGGAAAGTTGTCATTTTTGGCACTGACATTTTAGATTTGCATAAATGTTTTAAAATAATACAAATTCACTGGAACAAATAGATTTTATAGACCTAACGATTAATCAGTTAAGTTAAGAAAATAATTGACGGATAATCAAGTAGTTAAAGTTGCAACTTAAGTCCAGCTCGGCTCAGGAATAAAGTGACGAGTTAAAGGTGGGGTAAACAAATATAAATAATAGATAAGTTTGAGAAACCGGCTAGAGAAACACTTTTTGTTATATTCCATGGAATGCTCTTAACATCCCGATAGCAATGAATATCTGAAGTGCTTTGACAGAAAATCCATAAAAAACATGTCATCTGTGGAAGCCTTGGCGCTGTAAAAAGCACGACCAATCATCTGAGCCGGCCCGGCTAAAATAACTGGATGGCCTACCTGCCTGTCAGCCTTCCATCCGTGCACAAGCTTATCTCGTGCCCTCATTGGCCCGAGCTGGTTTCTCCGAAATTACCTACCCTACCTTTAAGAAAACCTTTGTGTCAAAGCCGATTATAAAAAATTAAAAAATCATGCACAATGAGCATATATGTAATTGAATGTTTTCGACACAAGAGGTTCAATACATATATCCAAATGTGTGTTTGTTCAGGAAAAGGCGTACCAGTTCTGCAGTAAGACGTGCTGCGAGGACTACAAGAAGCTGCACTGCATCGTGACGTTCTGCGAGTACTGCCAGGAGGAGAAGACGCTGCACGAGATGGTCAAGTTCTCCGGAGTCAAGAGACCCTTCTGCAGCGAAGGTATCAATCTGCTCTCCTCTGGAGGACACTTCGTTAATCTGAGTCATGTTGAAGTAGTCAGAGACTGATCTCATGCAATGGAGAAAGCAAAAAGTGTCACATTAAATCACTTGATCTCCCATATTCACAATATCTCTCACGAAAAAGGCCATATCCAAATGTGCAAACTATAAAGAACTAAACTATGAACTGTGCTTATCTTTGACCAGTTAAAATGTATAAGTGCTTGGTATTTCTCCTCAACGTACCGTATGTTAATCCTGATGGCAGACAGGAGGTTTCCCACCTCTTAGGGATTTATTAATACACGTGCAACCACATTACTTTTATAGTACAATTAAATCTGTGTAAAAGTTATATAAAACAACTAAATATGCAGCGTGACGATTGGTTTGCCTGTTTGTGTCTTTGTGTGCGTGTTCAATACTTTTGTAGTGGTTGTTAGGCAATGTTTAAAAATGTTTGTATCTGTTGTTTAATATCCAGGATTTAGCTGCCTCTAGTCGAGATGGATTTCCTTTTCATTGACCATTTTCTTTGTCTTTCTCTTTCCTCCTCTTCTCTTCCTTTCCCCCCCCCCAGGCTGTAAGCTGTTATTTAAGCAGGACTTCATCAAGCGCCTGGGTCTGAAGTGTGTGAGCTGTAACCACTGCAGCCAGCTGTGTAAGAGAGGTTTGACCCGGCAGCTCGGAGGCATGACGCGAGACTTCTGCAGCGAGGCCTGCGCCAAGAAGTTCCACGACTGGTACCACAAGGTATCATACTCACTGAAGCCTTTAATAAATGAACACACAAATATATCTGTCACAGCTTCCTTACTTAGTTTCCATCAAGTAGGGCTGCACGATTTGGGGAAATAATTGAGATTTTTCTGAAAAATATTGCGATTCGATTTGCGATATTTGTTTTTAAGCGACCCAACGGAAGTTTATTGTAGAATGCGGCCATATCTCCGGATAGGAGGCTAATATAACTTACTGGTTAAAAACTGTGTCTTGATGGCGTCTTCCACACAGGTTGCCCATCTCTGTCTCTTAAGGCGCCGTGGGAAATGTAGTCTTTCATAGTCTTGACTACAGAGGTCACCATTAAGTGACAATATTCTGCTTTTTTTGATAAAATCTAAAGACTGGCTGTAACGATACCCCTGCAGGAATATGTTTTTGTGTCCTGAAGTTCCTCTTGTCTCCACCAGGCGGCGAGGTGTGACTGCTGTAAGGTTCAGGGGAGCCTGACGGAGTCCGTGATGTGGAGGGAGGAGATGAAGCAGTTCTGCGATCAGGACTGTCTGCTGAAGTTCTACCTGCAGCAGAACGACCCCATCATGGTCACACAGAAAGGCCCCGAGAACTGCACCGTGGGTAAGAACTGATTCAAAGTCAACTTTATTGTCAATCGTTCAGTTTGTGTGTTCAGACGGAGAGATCGAAATACCGTTTCCCACAATCCAGAATACAAAAATATGTATATCCTATATATACATAATCAACAGACACATGTATACATATGCACACATTAAGACATACATAAAAGCACCACACATATAGAAAAGGGTCTAGCCACTTCAATACCTTTGAGAAATGTACATTAGTGCAAGACTGTCCGTAGCAGCGTAAAAAGTGTTTGTGTTTGTGCACGTGTGTTTCCATTTCACCGTATCAAGCAGGTTTTCATTACGTTGAATTTGATTGAGCTGATGCTTTTATCAAAAGACACTTACAGTAAGTGCAACCAACCATGAAACACACTCCAAACAGTTAGCATCCTGCAAGTGCATTAGCTTTTAATTAGCCAAAAGATGTAAGTGCTATGTGCAGGATAGATATTTATTTTATTGTTAAAGGTGCAGTTTTCTTTTCCATGTAACAGAAAATGTACGAGGGAAAGAATTCACTTTATCGAAAGCATATTTACACCAAAACAAATATCTTGTCTGCCTGCTTTATTTGACTATTTATATGTCAATCAGATTTCTCCATGAGACATTAATGTTTTTTATTTTCCTCTCTACATGGTATGAAGCGCAAGGGGTCAAACTTGGGGTAAGTGAGAATTTGCAAATGTTTTTATTTGTAAAAGTTTTTATTTGAGTTTCTGAGACATCACTTGTTGCTTTGTCTGAATTATTTGTTGTGCATTCGTCTGCCAACATGTAAACAAACCGGTTCTAGAGATGTTGTGTGTCCACTCTGGATCTATTTGGTTAGCTGAGTATATTTTCTGCTTTACAAGACTTGTGTGTACTTTCTGTCCTTTTAGAAAAACATCATTTTATGGTTTCACTAAAGGTTGAAACCACATTTCTGTTTGAAATTGAACCTTTTCATTTGAATGTTTGTACTCTTGTCCCTGGCATGTTGCAGATGGTGAATCAGGGAACTCTGGCGTACGCTGGTGGAGGTTTGATGAGAGACGTGAAGAACAAGGCGGTGCTCTGCAAGCCGCTCACGCTCACCAAGGCTACCTACTGCAAGCCTCACATGCAGAGCAAACTCTTACAGACAGGTAAACAACCAGCTTACTCACAAGTGTGCAAAAACTGAAGTAGTATTTTTCTTTTGGGTAGAATAGAATATTGGTGAGATAATGTTAGTTTGCATAAGGGAAATGATATGATGTAGAATTGGGGCATTTCTTCAGTTCATGCAGCTTTACCTACATAATCACAACTTGTTGACGCATCAGTAAACACATATGGATTTGCATATATAATGTTATCGGCATATGTGTGTCCACAGATGTAGACGATGGTGTGAAGAGGGAGTATATTCCTGTACCGATACCTGTGCCTGTCTTCATCCCCGTACCCATGAACATGTATTCCCAGTTCACCCCCACTCCATTCACTCTGCCTGTACCGGTAAGACATGACACACGCACTGATTATTCAATCTAAACGGCAACAAGACTTTAACATACAATAGAAAAAATCTATAATAAACGTTAGAATAGAATAGAATCCTTTATTGTCTCTATACAGGTACAATGAGATGAGTAGAGCTACTCCTTTTTTTAAGGTGCCATCAAAAATACAAAAAACAGACGTACAACATTCAGGAGAAGACACCATACAAACAACAAGCATTCATACTTCAATATGCTGATAAAGTTAAAGCGCAGGAATATATCGGTTTAAGTTATAATACAAGGCTTAAGGCTTAAGTGTCTGTTGTAAGGTCGAAAAGGAAACGCAAACATTAGGTTAGTGTCACCCAAGCAAAGTAAGCCATTCATTAATTCAAGTTGTGATGCCCTGTGTTCTCCAGGTCCCTGTGCCTGTGTTCCTGCCCACCACCCTGCAGGGGGCGGAGCAGCTCATCCAGACCTTCAAAAATCTGAAACGAGAGGCTCCCTCAGAACCTCCGGAGGCCGATAAGCTCTCTGAGGCCGAGGTGATTTCAGACGACGAGAAGCCAGGTACACTCATGATGTCTCCATTGATACACAAGAGATGATCTACTTCAGTGTTTCCGCCAGACCAGGGCTGGGAGGAGGGGGGGGCTGGGGTGTGACGTCACGTGACTTGAATTTTGAATTGAGCCGTCCCTTATAGATACTATCTCTTTACGTATTAGTGATGGGGATTCCGGCTCCTAAACGGCTTTCATGTTACCACAGTTTACTCGCCGGCAGTACACTTTCCGTCACAGGAACATGCTTTGCTGGCGGCGAAAAGAATCCCACCAGACTCCTTTGCCCCTCCAACAGAGGGATGTCCTTGTCCTTTTTCCTTTTCGTCATTTCAAGCAATAAAAACCCGATCTTCTCTCTCATTTTCTTTTTGGACGCCCTCGAGTTCAGGGCGTTCCGAGCTGAATAAGGGCGTCAGATGACGGCAAGACGCCCCCCTGGCGAAAACGCTGATATACTTATTGTGATGAAAGCAGAGCTTATGGACATTCTTGAGATTTCATTTGATTAGAAAAACAGCTCAACAAACTGGAAACATGTACCGTAATTTCCGGACTATAAGGCGCACCTGAATATAATCTCAGCAGCTAAATTGAATGATGTGTACATATATAAGCTGGACTATAAGCCGCAGGTGTTTTAATGTTTAATTACCATATGTAAGGGTTCGTGCACAGAGGGGATTGTCGGGAAAGAGATGGCTGTTTGAGGAAGCTCCCATTTATTAACATTTCAACAAACAAGTTGCATATTTGCATAACGTATTCAAGTGTTAGCATTTAGTGCAATAGTAGCTACAGAACATGTGCTGTGGTAAACTGTACTGTATCACATAGCGTTTCAGACACACAAACTTTTCAACTTTCAAACTTAAACGGTGCGCTCCCAGCGCACGTACCGGCAGTGATCTACAGCAGTGGTTTTCAACCAGTGGTACGGGGACAAACTGTCTCGCTCTCGTAATGTCTGTCTGTCTTGCTCTCGTTCTGTCTCTCGTACCACTCTCGTTTCCACTTTTACTTTTGCGCGCTCCCTGTCTCACTCTTTTCCGGCCTCCAGCTTTTCCTGCTGGAACCCGCCGCTTAAAGGTGGGGGGCGCGGACCGGCCATAGAGCCCATAGAGTTCAAGGTAGTGGCCGTTAGCCTGTAAAATCCATAGATTAGCCGCACCGTTATATAAGCCGCAGTGTCGAAAAATGGGGAAAAAGGCACGGCTATAGTCCGAAAATTACGGTAACTGGTTTCCACATGTTGTGTTT